TGAAATTACAGATTGATAACAGAAGAATGTTTGCTGCAACTGACATAGTAGTGAAAATCTGTAATTACCTGTTGATTCTGTTCCCAGCAATGGCCTTAAATTATGTTCACATAACTGTATTCTCTTGTTACTTCTGTTGCTGTTATAGCTGGTAAGTCTTCTGATCATACCTCATAGTGCTTCTCTATGTTGAAATCAAAGTGAGTTTAAATATTTAGAGTTTCCAACCCAGTTTACCATAGGAAATGATTAGTCAGTATCTTATATAGTATTTCTAATGAATGAAGGTAAATATTACAGCTATGTCTGCCTAATTCTATATATACCATTGTTTCTGTTGGAAGATACTTCCAAGTTCCAGGGCAGGACTCCAGGAACACATATCTCTTGAGAGATCTCTTTATCCAAGGGAAGCTTGGGTGAGACCCAAAGCCCTTTGAGGCGGAAGACTTTAGAGAGAGTAGAGACCGCTTTGTTAGAGAGGCAAAGCACAGGTGGAAAGAGCAAGGGCTTGGAGGCAAACCTGGTATTGAATTCCAGCTTGGCCTCTTCCATGCTGAGGGACCTTCAGCAAATTATCTAAAACTCTGTTCTCTCATAATGCAAATAAGATGGTCATACTTAGAGATTTAGAGATCTGAGAATTCAAGACATGCGAAAGCCCTTTTGAAGGTACTCTCCCTAGTAGCTATTAGGACATGTGTAGAGAATGGATTTTTCATTCTTTTTTATACTCTGCATTCTTAATATGGAAATAAAGAGCTATTGTGGTGAATGGAGGGAGTGACTGCCTTACAGGTACATCACAGAGTGTGTGGTATGACTTTTTTATTAATCAGGAGTCATCTCTATTGATAACCTTTGACATTCCTCTTACTTTTCCCTTCCATTTGCAGACAGAAACAGTAATATGCCTACAGTGAGACTGTTCACTCCTGTGGCATCCCTATAACCTCTCTAAGCTGTCAGTGAGAACAAACGGGGGAGGGGTAGAATTTTGTTGCACTGATTCTGTTCTTTGGACAGCTGTCTGACATCTGCTTCTTTGGGTTTTACCTTTTACTGGTGTTGGTGCTTTTGTCTATCATACCAAAGTATTTTCAAAACTTGAATTGCTTCTATTCTGCAGGTTAATATGGCTCCTAAAGGACCACCACCTCCTTTTTGGGGGGTGCGCTCCATGAGCTCCCTGGTTGGAGGCCCCATCCCACCACCCATTCGATATGGACCACCTCCTCACCTCTGCGGGCCTTTCTGGCCTCGGCCGTTTCCTCCGCCATTCGGTACGATGATTTGAATAGTAGTAACTGACTTGTAAAGCATATTCATCTTTTCTCTCTGTTCCTCCCTAAAACAGTTGCTATCGCAGGGCTTTGCAATAGAAGGATAAATCTGACTGAGTACATTTCAATTTTGGCTCAAGTTCTTAGGACACATGGAGTGCTACACAGTCTCCCTGTACTGAGATGGAGCAACTATCTCGTCTAGACAAGGAAAGGAGCTAGTGATAGACATATTACTTCTGCAGGTGTTTATTAAACACCCATGGCTATGTACCAGGCTCTTCAGCTATGTACCAGGCTCTGCAATGGATAGAAAGGTGGTTAAGACACATCCCTTAACTCAAGATGTGCTGTAGGTCACAGACACATAGATTCTACAACATAAAGCTTGTGATCACCTATAACAGAAGCGTTAAGACACATCCCTTAACTCAAGATATCCTGTAGGTCACAGACACATAGATTCTACAACATAAAGCTTGTGATCACCCATAACAGAAGCATAAGAAATGGGTCACAGAACACAAAAGAAGGAAAGGTTAAAGCCTCACTCCTCACTTGGGATTAGATGAGGAGTTTTTAAAGAGAAGGTAGGATGTAATAGCTATCCAGTGAATGTTGCTGAATTTAGTTGGATGAAACTAGAAGGTCTTCTCCAGCAGGGCAAGCACCTTGATTTTGATGGCATATGTTAGTTCCATGCTGAGCTATTGCATGAATTTTTACAGTAGTAGACAATGGAGTTTCCTTTGTCAAAATTCCTTTCTTGCAGGGAAGCCCTATTTCATAATCTGTCACTTTGGTATGGTATAATGGTACGTCCAAGTACAAATTGAGCTCTTTTGAGAAAAAGATGGCAATATTGTATAGTGGAAAGAATGCAGGTGTGGAGCTAGGTAGAGCCATGTTTAAATCCTGCCTATGCTCTTTCATGGCTGGCTGGCCAAAGGCATGTAACTTAAAATTGCTGAGCCTCAGTTTGCCTCATCTATAAAACCGGGATGCCACCACTTGATGTTCTAGGGTTGTGAGAAATTAGATAATATATTAATATGCCTGGAATCATCTTAATTTAGATATGTTCCTAGGTATTTTTACATGACTGAATGTTTGTTTTCCAGGTCCTGGTATGCGTCCACCACTAGACTCAAGAGAATATGCACCAAACATTCCACCTGGTTAGAGCACAGTTTTTGTTTTTTTTTTTTTTTAAATTTTACATCTCAAAATACATTGTAGTTCATTTTCATGCCCCTTTACCTGTTCCTCTCTTCCCCTTCCCCACCCCTTTACTCCCACGTCATATCTGTTCACTTGAATTAAATACTTAAAGGAATTTTTGTGGTTATTCTGTCTTCTTCCCCCCCATCAATACATTTTCAATAATCAAAGTTTCCTTATATTAAAAATAAAAGGTCTTTTACTATACTCACTGTCTAGCCCTTTCTTTTTAATGTTTTTAATTGCAAAATCTAACACATATTCAGAAAAGCAAATAAAACAAGTATACAGTTTAATGAAAAAACTGGAAAGCGAGCATCTACGTGACCACCACTCAGGTCAAAAATAAAACATTACCCCAGGAGAACCTTCTGTCTCCCCTCCGCCCAATGCCCCTTCTGAATCCCTCCCCACTGTCCAGCTTTTTAAATAACTACTAAAAAGCATCCTATATCATAACTATATAATAACAGTTTTGCCTGCTTTTGAACTTCAGACTTATCCAAGTTGTTGCCAGTACCTGTAATTTGTTCATTTCTCTTATATAGTACTTCGTTGTATATATTCCACAGCTGACGTATCCTTTCTTCCAATGATGGACATTTGAGTTGCTTCAGGTTTTTGGATATTGTTAAGGCTGCTATATAAACACTCCTGAGAACATATCCTGGTGCTCA